ACAGATGCTGTGTTGTAGCTGAGAACGTGGATAAAGCGATCGCGGAAGGTGTGGCAGAGGTGAGTCCAAGTGCAAGGAATACCGTCCACATTCACAGACCTTAAGACATGCAGCGCTTGTACATGTTCGCCACCTTCCGTCACCAATTTTGTCACATCTCCCATGTTGGTTACACCGAATTCGCATGTAAAAATGGTTTCGAAACTAGGTCTGTTCGGCATGAAATATTTTACTGCCTCGTCTTGTAACGCTGTTCCGGCCTCTAATTTCTGCTTCATATCCGCATGCACCAACCGCGCGTACTCCCAGAATTTTCCACCAATATCACGTGGTGTTGGGACAATCACTGCCAGCTGAGGCACAATGTGGCACCCGAGATAGGGAGACGTATCGCCTTCCCAGTATCGGCGAGCATTCAAGATGTGGTCCCCACGAATGTTGTACGTGTCCTGCTGAAGGCCCCCCTCCAAAAGAAGGTCCACCAAGGCCACGTTAGCCAGTGCTGTGAAGGCCGAGTTCACAGTAACGTTTTCAGTACGACAACGTTTCACAAACTGGCTAGTGGTGGCAACGTCCACATCCCTTGCCAACACCAAACTCCTTCCTTCTTTGTCGCCCGTACCTTTAAATGTCGATTCTATCATGGAGTGTTTTGTGTGGCGAGCATTGTAATCATCCAGTGCCCGTTGCTTAACTTCAGGGTCAGCCTCCATATTTGCTATTCGCTCTTCCAGTAGCTTCTTTGTCCTCTCGTCGGATACGAGGATGCCCAGTTGTTCCTCATCCTGGATTGATTTTCCTGCCAACACGTCATTGAGGAGTTGGACAAAGAAGCCGCATATCCTCATGTTGGTGTTGCCATCAGTAATGCCGTGATGGAAACCGAAAAACAGCGTGTATACGTGAGGGTATCGAGACTTGTCGAATCCCAGCTCGTCATCTGGGAGAGAGGACTGTGGTCGTGGCCAGAGCCGAGCACACCACAAAGGGCCCGTCCAGGTGTCGTAGTGGCGATGCTGTAGCTTGCTATGCATGTCTCGCATCGTGGTCTCTGGAACCACCTGTGGAGAACCATAACCATCATTAACCAAGCATTAATATAATGGATTGATTCTTGATAAATTTCAAGACCTACAGTTTAAATGCACCAAACTGAACAATAAGACTTTCTAAAACACGTAGCAACTAATAGAGTGACATTTACAGAAATAGTTAATGTCTACTTCAAGCACTTTTTCCATCCAAGACATTGTCTGCGATATATTAATTTAGTACATCACGAATAAAAACGTTCATAACAGACAATGGCCTGTCCATATGTAAAAATATAAATATGAATATAAATGATCATTCCCAACTAACAAAGAAACGGTGGAAGCTCACTCGCTCACTCAGTCTGCTTGTAACTATAAC